AACGCGTTTACCGCCGTTCACTGAATGCGCGTTCACCGCGTTCAAAGGCTGAACGCAAAACGCGTGTTCAATGAACGCGCGGTAACACAGAAGTCATGGCCCCCGACGTTCATCTTCGCCACCCCTCTCGTGATGCCGAACGGGCTGGACGAACGTGATTGTCACCGATGATCGTCCCAAACCTGTCGACCCATGACCTCTGTGGCAGACCAATCATTGTCGTCCCATCGCTCGTCGATTGCATCAGTAGGTGTCGTCCATCAGCAGGCCGCCAATCCCGCTGTCCTCGTCCTTGAAGCGGCCACACCAGCACTGCTCATCGCTCCCCGCTTTTACGAAACAAGTCCACGCTCGTCGCCCAACTCATGGCAACACCTGCCGCGCTCGCTCAGAAGCCCCCCCGCCGTCGCCGAGGGCCATGTGCGGTTGCTGCCCGAATCTGGGTTGATGACAACGGTGTGCGTCACGTCCTGACCGCTACCAAACCTCAGACCGAGATCGACGAGTCCTGCGTCGTGGCCGGCCGGGGTCCGCCCTTCCAGAAGATCAGTGGACGTCGGTGTCGGTGGCTGTCTGAACAGCTGGCTCCCCATCCAATCCTGCGTCAAGCCCCTGCCCAGGGGAACTGTTGAGGATGGAGGGTCGTTATTCAGAGGCAACAGAATCTCGTGGGACGACAGGTGGTTGTACAGCGTCGAGTCGTACGGCCACCTGCCACCTTCCACACCGGTGCAACGCAGACGTGAAGATCCCCCCGCCACTGCCGACGCCATGGTGTTCTTCTTAAGGTTGTCCATCTTCCTCACCTTCTTCGACGTTCGCGACATCACTTTTCGTCCACGAACGTGGCTGAGGGAGCAGATGTGGAAGACAACAACGGCAAGCAGAAGCAAAGCGACGAGGAGCAGCAAAGGCAGTCTGCGGTACAGGTCAGCCATGAACGACAGGGCAGTGGATATGGAACATGCACTTCCGCTGTCGCATTCGAGGCGAGTGGCGGCACAGTACTGGAGGAAGAAGCCAATGAAGCAGATTTCTGCAATCGTGGACCGGGGGTGGACGACTACAAAATTCGTAAATTCGACCGTTGGGGAGCCCGCCCGAATGACAAAACCCCTCCAGCAGCCGGCCGAAGACGCCCAATGCTCGTCATGGCCCCGCCGACGGGCCGCCCGAAGAACCGACAGGGTTGTCCCACGAATCGCTGGTAACGGTAAACTGAGGAGGCCATTGCAGGACGTTGTTGACGACAACGGCCCGCAATGTCCGTCTTCCGGTCGGCGGACCACGAATGGACCACCTTCGCCCTTCAATTTTCCTTCTGGAGTTGATGCCGTCAGCCCGTGAATTGTGGATCCTCGGGTTCCAAAGGACCTCACAAGGTCCTTTGGACTGGAGGACGATTTGCCTGGGAAATCCTCGGAGCCCGAGGATTTGTTCTCGGAGTGTTTTCACTTTTCTTTCCCAAAAATCGACTCCAAAAACATGTGGAACGATGACGAAATCCTTGGAGTCGCGTCCCCGAGGAGTGTCTAATGACGCCCTTAGTCATTTTAGTAGTTTCAGTATT